TAAAGCTCTCTGTTAGTGGCTGTGTCGTCTACAGCCTTGATACACTCCGTAATGGCATCGGTGTCGTCTCTTGGACTTTTCTAACTCATCTGATGGTTCTGTTAGTTCTCCCAGGCATGGCAAATCACTTGATCCTGTCATCACCCACTGATGCGGTGTCATGTCTTTGAGGTGCCGAACTCGCAATATGTCCTTCATCTTTTCTGACTTATCGTGCTTGTCTTGCATCTAGCCTTCTGTCAGGATTCGCCTGTTATGCTTTTGAAGCGTGGTAGAGGTAAGACCGACACCCAGTTGCGACGATATTGCGCCCATTCTCTCAGTGGAAATTGCTTTATTCCCGTTGCCGCTATCTTTTCTGCCGAACATTTGACAAAGCCTGGGTTTGAAGTCAACTCCATGCCTCAACCTAGCGACATACCAACCCTGATACCGGTTTGTGCTCTTCCTACATCGTCAACTCAAAAAAGGGGCTGATTAACTAAATTGGAACAATCGAAAAACGTAGCATCGAGAAATGGCTGAAATTATATTATTGGTTGCTTAACTTATCAAAAGCAGTGCCTCTTCATCCAGTGTTCATTGAAATGCAGCTGTGAATCACCAGCCCCTGATCTCGATATAAAAGAGTCCTCCTCTTCCTTTCCTCCACATTCATCCCTCCACATCTTCCCCACAACACCACTTCTTCTCTGCCCAACACTACTCATTTCATTCTCTCCTCAAACTCACTCAAAGCTATCCACCTCTTTCAATACTCTGCACTTACACTGCACACCATGGCGCCCACGTGCAAGGTGAAGCAGAAAACGATGACCAGGGCTCAAGTCGGACAGGCCGTTCGATCTAAGACCTGCTCATCCTCCCCAAGAAGTTCATCTTCGTCGAGTAGCCCGTCTGCACCAGGTAGCCCATCATCCTCGAGCGACTCAGCCGTTTCAACAGGAAACAAGAGAAGCCCAATGGCTTCCAAAAACGAACCTCCTAAGAAGCGTTACAAGCCTCAGCCCGACAGAGACTCACAGCTAGTCAAGGCGTCCAACAACAACAACAAGTTGATCGTCGAAGCGCCGCTCTTGAGAGATTTCACTAAGAAGTATGGAATTCCCATGAGTCAATTCATCTGGGGACCACGCGAGGCAACTCCTGAAGAAGAGTCGTTTGACGAAGATGAGACGGCACCCCCTCCCGCTATCCCCAACGCCTACCAACGGGATCCAGGTTCACGTCGAGGTAGGGCTCTGCTGCTGCTGCCGAAGAATACCAATCCCATTCCTGCCCGTTGTCAGAACCGTACTCAACGAGGTCGCAGCGGTGCTATCCGGAATTCCCCGGCTCCAAAGCCTCGACCTAGACTCCCTATCAGGATCAAAGTCAAGAACCCCAGACGCCTCAGCTTCATGGGCCTTCCCGCCGAGGTTCGTGAACAAATCTATCGTGGTCTCCTTTTGTCGGACAACCCTATTCTTGTTTACGATAGCTGGAGGCGCGTGTACCAGCGAAAGAATCCTGGCCTAGACATCAGCATCCTCATGGTGTGCAAGAAGGTCTTTGTCGAAGCGAGAGGCGTCATGTACGGCGAAAACATCTTTCTCTACCTTCTTCGGGATGCGCCTACTCAATATCACGGGATGGCCAACATCCAGGACCTAGTCAATGACGACGTATATGTCCCTGAGCCTGGCATGAGAGACCAGGAAAACACCGCCAACAGAGACACTAATCCTTTGGCACTACCAGTCCACGAGCCTGGGACTATCCACACTGCCAAATACGCTCAGTATTTTCGCTTCATCACGGTCAAGGCCGACCCAAGTCGCTCCAATGCAGTTACGAAGGAATTCATGGTCGATGCCATTAAGATGTTTGCCAAGGCCCCTTATAATGCCAACATCCACACGCTCAAGATCGTCATCAGCCCCAGGCTCGAACATGGCAAGTTTACCTTTGTCGACTTTTTCCAGCCAACCTCGGAGCTGATGATCGCATTGAGGGCACTACCTTGTGAGAGAATACATGTTCAGATCTTGAACGAATATCTCAACAATGGTGCTTGGCCCTCCTCAACAGATCTCATTCTTCGTACCCACCAACTGCGATTTCACAGGCAACTGGTGTTGCAGGGGCTTGAGGACAAAAGAAAGGATGAAAGCGATGACAGAGACGTCAAAATTCAGAGTAGTGATCTTTTCAAAACAGATGCTCAGATGAGGAACTTCCGCTACAACAAGCTTTGTAGGATCCACCAGAGAATGGCCCAGCTGAGCAAATTCATTCTCCAGGTTTGCGAGAAGTGCGCCCAGGACGATGATGGCAAGCAGGGCAACGCTGGCGGGGCTTCATCTGGAGCGACTGACGATGATGAAGACGATTTGCACATTCAGGAACACGATGAGTCGGAGGAGAGCGAGGAAGAAGAGGAAGAAGACCAGGAGTCGGACTATGAGCCTTAAGACGGGTTTCTATGATTGAGAAGATAGATGCGTGGCTCAGTGGAAGCGTCGAGAAAGGGGCAAGTCGAGGCGAATACTCTGCTAAGGAATGGATGGATGGATGATCGATCAACTTGCTCACGGATAGCTTAGCGTATTTAATCAACTACAGTTCGGGGTATCTCGCCATACCTAGTCTATTCACCATGTCCATCCTTTTATCGCATTATGTTGTAGATATCTTGACCCTCTCCACCTCGAGTGTTTCTGTATCGACCAACACTAGCTCCTTTGTTTCTGCAAAACTCGGTACGGTCACAAGTCTTACGGACTGACCCTCAGGTCCGTGGATAACCTTGGTAGAGAAGTGTGGCTGGTTGCCAACGAAATAGAGGTGAGGGCAAGTCTGCATCACAAAAGGGTCATCGTCCTGAAATGGGTAGCTCCCTACGCAATGTTTTAGCTTCGAGACATCAAAATTTGGGTCGTCATGTACTCACATAGCGTATCGGGTGCAGTCGGGGCACAGCAACGCCATCGACACATAGCTTCCATCATGCCAAGACGGTCATCGCTGCCAACGTACTTGAAAACATCGTCAACATTTTGGCCACCAGTACCAAGAAACCTCCATCCTTCGAGCTCCGCTTCCCACGGGTTTGTGACAGTGTCAAACCAGCCTGCCTGGGTGGCTGGAGCTGTTGGGTCACGGGCATACGCTCGTGCTAAAGGGAACATTGCTGGATGTACAGGTTGCTGCGGGTAACTAGCGTTCGCTGGATCCTGAGCACCAGGGAGCATCGTGATAGGAATGGAAGGGAGAAGTTCGGCAATGAACGCGTCGAAGAGTTGGGAGGGGAGTGGGTTGTAGGCGCTGGCGTCGTAGCCGTACTTCTTCTGGGCCTTCTTTTCTGGATGCGCCTCGTCTGCAGCGGGAGGTTTGCGGTCTGTTGTCGAGATGGAATTTCCTGCTATGATAAGGCGGCTAACATGAGAGACATCGATCTGGCTTAAGGGGGTCATGGCTTCACCGAGCAAGTACTCGGAAAGGAGTTCAAGCTCGAGGGCGTGAGCAGCATCAGTGCCTGAGAAAGACAAGCCAGAAATAATAGCAATCTTGCTGTTGCCCTTCTTGGCTTCAGAGGCATCAGCCATATCCTCATCCTCGTCCTTTGTCTTGGCCTTTTCTGAATTGGGCTTCGAAAGGCTCCAGCGGTCAGGTTGCGGAGGGAGGTCGGGAAATTTAATGTCAATGACCTCTAATTCGCCGTTGGCGTTTTCTGTGCCCATGACCCCAATAATACATCCAGTGACCAAGTTTACGGTCTTCAGCACATCGCCAACCAGCCTGATGCGGCCCGACTCATCCTCCAACATGACCTGGTCGTCCTGTGAGAAGTATTTCGGTGTCAGAATAGGAGCGGAGATCCAACGCTACGGACACATTAGCATTCCGTTTCATAATCGATCGGCAACTAATATGGCATACATCCTTAGACACGTCCTCCAGAATATTCGGCTTCAGTGGCATCTCCATGTATACGGTGCCAGTTACCCAGCACAGCTCTCCCTGCCGAACATCAAGCACTCGTTCAACTCTCTGCGCTTCCTCTTCGCCAATCTTTGTGCCTTTCCAAGCCTCTGCGGCTACTCTATCGACAGCTGGTTTTATCTTGGTGAGACGCAAAAAGTACATATCGCCATACTGCTGCTTGTAAGAGCGTTGCTTGTCGAGGACAAAGGATTGTAGTGGCTTGTAAACGGAGGCGCTCCGAGTGGGGACTTGGTGAGAGGTTTCGCTGAGGGTTTCGAGTCAGTCCAGTGCTTGCTTCAATGAGTGTCAAAACACAGCTTACGAGGGCTTTCGCAAGAGGCTCCCTTTGACATCTTCGAGGGTCACCATGTTCAGTGGCCCCGAAATGGGGGTGTTTGCAGGTTGACGGTACGAATGAAGCGGCTGAAGGAAGTCCCAGGAAGTTTCAGGGAGGGACAGGTTTCGTCGTGTACCGTAGTTGTGCAATTGGCTCGACAAATAGTTAAACTGAAGCTTCTAGCTGCAGGATGAAAACGCGTGAAGAAGCTTGGTCCGCGATTAGACGCGAATTGGCGTAAAGTGGCTAGGCAACGGATAAGGGGACTCATAGCGTTCATTAGTGGGCAATCGTTCCACTAATAAGGGACTCGATGGGTCTCAGGTGTCATGACGTGCTGGATCTTAGGCGGAGGGTTCACTAACTAGAAACGACAACGATAGTGGAGTGCGGCCACAAACGATAGCGGGGTTCAGGAAGGCAGGCAGGAATCCTCATGTCCAACGGATCCCGCCTGTCACCGGCTGAGGTAACCAATCTTCTTCGTATTGTACCTAATTTGAAGGGGGAACAGAAATCTCTGACTCGCTATTCTCATGACACTTACTATCTGATGATATAAGTATCAAATCCTCCCAAATTTATGTTCCAGAGATCCTTTCAATCCTCTTCTCATTGTCCTGACCTCTTAATTTGACCATCCTTCTGCCTCTCTCTCGTCCTCTCCTTCAAGGCGTCACCACATCTTGAACTCATCATGACACCCCCTCCTAAGCCTCCCCGTGTTGAAGTCAACAACCTCTCATACACTTTTCCCGACTACTCGACTGGTATCAACAACATCACTTTGGATCTTCCTCCGCGGTCTCGAACACTTCTGATCGGTGCTAATGGAGCCGGTAAAACAACCCTGCTTCGTCTTCTTGCCGGCAAACGTCTTGCGCCCAGTGACACCATCTCTATTTGCGGTGTAGATCCTTTCAAGGAGGGTCTTGAGGGTGTCACTTATCTTGGTCTGGAATGGGTTCTTAACCCCATTGTTCGAACCGACATCGGCGTCAATGAATTGCTTCGCTCTGTTGGTGGCGATGCATACCCTGATCGACGAGACGAGCTCGTCGCGATGCTTGACGTCGACACCAATTGGCGTATGCATGCTGTTTCAGATGGTGAGCGTCGTCGAGTCCAGCTTGCCATGGGTCTGGTGAGACCGTGGACCGTTTTACTTCTGGATGAGATCACAGTCGATCTCGATGTTCTGAGCCGTGCTGAGTTTCTGGCTTGGCTCAAGCGTGAGACAGAGATTCGAGAATGTACCATTGTCTACGCTACTCATATTCTGGATAACCTTGCCGGTTGGCCTACTCATCTTGCCCATATGCATCTTGGAACTGTCAAGGAGTGGGACGAGGCTGACAAGATGCTCGCCACCATCGATGGTACTGTGGGTGCCTCTGGCAATAGCCGTCTCGGAGAGCTCGTCCTGAGCTGGCTTCGAGAGGACTTGAAGGAGCGAGGGCCACGGAGCAACATGAAGCGTGGCCCCGAAGGCAAGACCTACGGCTTTGGAGGCATCCAGATCGGCGGTTATGGCGACGAGTCTAAGCAGCGCGAAGCATAAACTATTTCTGGCGGAGGTTCTTACTTTGGAGCATTCTTGACAATCGCCCCGAGTTTCATTTGTTTTCGGGTTGGAGTTCAGAAAGACGGATAGCACTCAACTGCATTTCTCGGCGCAGGGTCGCAATAGGGGGAGAATTGGTGGCATTGGTCACTCATGCATGGCGTTCGACTCAAAGGGAAACAGTTCTCAACCCTGTATTCTGCGGCGTTTGTTCTTTTCAACACTTGATGCATGACGACGGCATGATATGGCACTGGGAGTGCTTAGCACGGTAAATTTCAACCAAGAGCGCGGACTTTTTTTTTATAACGAAACTAGACCAGTCGGATCATACCTAATTTAACATATGGTACAAGGGACAATATATTCATTTTCTCATCATCAGTCATTGAAATGACTGCGACGTGGTTGGCCTGGAGCTGCCATCGCCGTCTATTAATTTCCTCAGAACGGTCATGGTGTTCTTCAAAAGATCCGTAATGCCCCCCAGTCCTCTAGCAGTCAACGCTTCGAGCACCTTGACCCTATAATCCTGCCACGAGATGCGTAAACCCCCGGAACTTGCCAACTGCCCAAGGCTGCTCTGTGTCGGCGGTCCCTCATGCCTGACGCGCAAAGAGGAATCACTATCGACTTCGGCATCCTCAAGGCTTCTAATACATCGTCTGCTTTGCAAGCTCAGGAGTGGCGAGTGTGACATTGAGAAGAGAGATGATAGAGTATGAGCCTCGTCCACAGAAGTCACATACGACGACAGAACAGGCACGAGGCTCCTCGGAATCATACATCCCATTGCGTTGGGATCACTGTTAGTAAAAGCCCTGCCGCGCCAAAAGCAATTGCACATGTCCATGAGGTAGCCATTGAAAAGGCTGACAAAAGTCCTGTTATATGATGTAGAGTCAATGCGATTACTTTTCTCACGATCCGGCTTGGTGAGCATCGCCATCTCAAAACCCTTCTTATAAAAGGCCAGAATGGCACACATACGTGAGACAATGGCTGCAGAGCTGCTGAAGAAGAGTATGTAGATGAGTGATGAAGGGGGTAGTTCGATGCAAATATAGTGCTTGAGGACCTGATGACTAACGAGTCTGGCGTTTTGCTCATAGAAGTCAAGAATTGCAGAACGTGATGAGACAGAAGGACATGTTTGGCAGAGTGTGAGGGTCAGTGGATTAACGTGTCGGATCAAGGCCGTGATAGTGCCACTGGCATGGTCTGGCACTGTGTCACTGGATTCAAGTAGAACTGTCCAGTGGTGAAGAAGGTTCTTGTAAAAGGTGAGAAGTGCCAGCAGAGATTCCGGGGTATTATCAAGAGTTGCAGATTCAAGGGGCTTGAAGATGTGTTTGTATAACCCTAGGGAGTGTTAGCGTGGCGAGGTAGTCAGAGCAGCTTCGACTGACCTTCAAAGTCCAGTAATGGGGCGTAAGACAAGATCTCAAACATAGCATCGCGACGTCCAGAGCCATCCCAAAGCGGAAGAAAGCGTGCAAAAAAGTCAAGTAGGAGAGGAGGAAGGTTCTGGCCCTGGTCAGATATACCCTTAGCCAAGTCAGCAAGAAACATACCTTGATAGAAACAACATATTCCCGTAGGATGTCCAGCATGTCGAAGAAGGTGGTTTCATCTGCATCGCCATCACGAACATCTTGTAGAACCCCATTGAGCCAGTTGGCTAATCTCTGTTCAGATTCGCCGTCTGGCCTCAGAAGCATGAGCTTTTGCAACAAAGGATCTGCCAGAACAGCCACTAGTTGATTCGGGAGTTCGAGCTTGTCAAGATTCTTGACAAAGCTGGCAACATTTTCGATTTCCTCTAATGTAACCGTATTCTAGCAATGTTAGTATTACTCACACGGCACAGCACGTTGCTGCAGACGAACCTCTGCCACATAAGACGTCTGGACTACAGGGATAATTCTGTTTCTAGTACTACGCCCTATAGGGCGGTGGACGCGGAAGCCATCTCGAGGTCGTAATGTGCCTTTTTCTGTTTGATGAAAATGTGCATCCTGGATTTCGTCTAGCCTTGCTCGCCATTGCGGATCGGGGTGCTGGCAAATAATCAGTAAGAGCAGTAGTGAAAAGATATGCAAAAACGAGCCTTGAAGGAGGATGCTTTGCCACGAACCGCGTCTCCTATAATAACCTCGGGGTAATAGTCTTTAAAGACTCTTAGAAGACCGATCAAGGACGGGTCATGTCCGGTTTGTCGGGAAAGGTTAAGCCTGTGGTATATGAGCGAATGAACAGGCGTCTTCAACTGCAATGCTTACAAAGCTTGTATTCTAAAAGGCTGAACATGTTTGCGTCTGGTAACGAGAGCCAGGAGGTGGCTGAGGTTAGGTCTGAGGAGAGTTAGTGAATCGCTCAAAGCAAAGAAAGGAAAACTTGCCGAGTGGCCGCGGTATCGAGGAGATTAAACAGAACCGAGTAGGTTTGAGAAAGCGTTTGTGGTGACTCTAAAGTGTGGTGCACTGTAATGAGCCACTTGAGTAGAGCGGCCTGGAGAGTAAGAGATGGCTTGAGGGCTCCATGTCCAAGGCAGGAGATGACTTGAAGAACAGATTTTCGAGAGATAGGTGCCACGGGATACAGATTTCGGATGATAGCAGCTTGGCTTGCCTGGTCAAGGTGATTTGGAGTTGTGACGAGAACAATGAGATCGTCAAGGGTCTCAGGTAAAAGGCCCCATTCATATGAAAGTGAGGTAAGGCTAGTAATAGCAGGTTTGACGTTGGTTGCGCGTGTTTTGGCGGGTATTTTGGATGCTACGCGGAATATAAGTCAATGCCTTTGTACATTGCCCGGGCAGTCTCACATTCAATAACTTCGTCCACGAGAAGACGAATCTCCTGGTGACCCGCCGAAGCGGGATCTACATCCGTCTCCATATGCTGGCGAATTTTCTGAGTTTGCAGTGCTCAGTAGATGTCAGGCAAAAAGAGACATATATGCGGTCCCGGGGCCGAGCGGTAGCCTTGGGTTGACAGTGAATGAGTGGGACACCCCGGAAAACGGAAGACGCGTCGGCCAAGGAGACGACGCGTTTTACGGTTTTCGGGGTTGGAGTGGGTTTCGTTCGGAGCGGGGCATGAAGTTGTAGGTCCGCCGGTCCATAGGGGACGAAAGAAAACTCAGGACTATAATCCTCAATAACAAAAAGACTTGAGATAAATTAGTATAAATTTAAGATAAGTTCAAGATGTCTTCTCTTAAGTTATTTTCAATACCTTATATTAAAGTTTAATATTTTCTTGCTTCCTGAGGGGTACCCATTTAATACGGAAGATTGAGTAGATATAATGAGGGAAACATAACAACCCTGGTATTTGCCTTTTTTTTTTTATAAATAAATACCGGGTTAACTAAGTAAGTCCTTGGTATATATATAAACTACCTCCTGTTTATACTGATAGTATACTGATGTTCTAGGCGTAACGGTCACGTGCCCTGTTACGTAATTAATTAGCCTTTTTCGTAGCCTTTTTTACTAATTACACTAATATTATAACTTTAGGTCTTTAACTTTAGGCTCCTAAATCTATATAAAACTTAATATATTTTCCCCCTAAACCCTATAATTACCCCTTTTTTATTATAGATTTTATATTACTATTATAGTTAATTAAGCTTTAATAATACCCTCTTAGC